GAATAAAAATCTTTCTAGAGACAAACAAGTATATCATACAATAGAATAGTACTCAAATAAAAAGGAACTATTGATATATGTGCTACAACATGGAGAAACTTCAAGGGCATTATTTTTTCCTCCACATTTTTTTATTGGTGCATTATAGTTATACATAATGGTGGGATTTATTGTTACATATTAATATATGCATACAATGTAACAATTTGGCCAATATTACTGCCCAGCATATCAAAGGCATAATTATGAGTAAAAAAAGTACCAATTTTGAAAGGTCATATACTACATGATTACATTTAAATAACATTCTAGTATTTGTGGGTGGGTACTGAGCAATAGGATATATACCCAGTCACTTTTATTTTTTATTTCAAGACAGGGTCTTGCTAAATTTGCTGATGCTGACCTTTTATGATCCTCCTGTCTTAGTTTCCCCAGGTATCTGGGACTATAGGCATATGCCACTATACCCAGCTTATATATAACATTTTGGAAATGACAAAAGTATAGAGATGGGGAACAAATCAATGGTTTCCATGGATTGGAGAAGTAGGTGAGGAGGTATTACTATAAAGGGAAGGCTTGTAGAAGTTCCTTTGTGGTGATAGAAGTTCTATACCTTAAAGGTGGTGATAGGGCTGTGACTGTGGCTTAGTGGTAGAGCACTTGCCTAGCATGTATGAGGCACTGGATTTGATTCCCAGCACCATATATAAATAAATCAAATTAAATTAAGTTCCATCAATAACTAATAAAAATATTTTTTAAAAGGTGGTGATAGGGCTGGGGCTGGGGCTTAGTGGTAGAGCACTCGCCTAGCACCTGTGAGGCCCTGGGTTTGATACTCAGTACCACATAAAAATAAATAAATAAAATATATTGTCAGGGACACAATATATTTACAACTAATATATATATATATATATATATTTTTTTTTTTTTTTTTTTTTTTAAAGATGGTGATAGGGACTGGGGATAAAGCTCAGTTGGTAGAGTGCTTGCCTCGAATGCACAAAGCCCTAGGGGTTCAATCCCCAGCATCAAAATAAATAAATAAATAATAAAAATAAAAATAAAGGTGGTGATAGTTATGTGAGTATATATGACAAAGTATGATAGATGTATACACAAAGACATGCAAACAAATTAGTACACATAAAACATAAAATCTGAGTAAGTTCTATAGGCTTTATTGTTAATTGTATTATAACAAGATTAATTTCCTGGTTTTGATAATGTAGTAGAGTTACACAAGATCTTAAGATTGGGGGAGGTTGCGTGATGGGTACATAGGTCTTCTCCTTGTTATTTTTCCAATTCTATAATTAACTCAAAATAAAAAGTTTAATTACAAAAAAACAATGAAGCCAGGTGTAATGGATTCTTGAGAATTATTTGAGAGGCTGAGACTGGCAGACTGCAAGTTTGAGGCCAGCCTGGGCAACTCAGTGAGGCCCTATCTCACAATAAAAAAATAAAAAGGGCTGGGAACGTAGTGCAGTGGTAGAGAACCCCTGAGTTCAATCCCCAGTACTTAAGTAAATAAATAATTAATTAAATTAAAAAATTTAAAAATTAGTACAGTGGGCTGGGGTTGTAGCTTATTGGAAGAGAACTTGCCTAGCATGTGTGAGGCACTTGGTTTGATTCTCAGCACCACATACAAATAAATAAAATAAAGGTCCATCAACAACTAAAAATATATTTAAAAAATATTCTTAAAAAAATGAGTACAGTGGCAAGTGCTTATAGTCCCAGATACTGGTGAAAAAAGCAAGAGGATTGCCTGAGCTCAACAGTTCAAAGCTAGTCTGAGCAACATAGCAAGACCTTGTCTCAAAAAATAAAAAAAGTGTGTGTTTTTATAATAACATGCACATATATATACATACACATATATATGAAATGAATTGGTCCCATACTAGCTTTCAGGCTTTGGGGCACTACGGATTGTGCAAATATATAGCATAAAAGCCCTCCAAGGCACTTTTGTTCTAGTAGGGGAAAATACAAAGAAAGAAACAGGCAAGTGTGATGAATACATATTAAGCTGAACCACAATGATATACATTCTTTTCTAATCTCCACCCTTGAGTGTAAGCATGACTGTGACTTACTACAAATAAACAGAATATGGCAAAGGCCATGGGACAGCACTCTCATGGTGAGGTCATATTCTGTAGCGAAGGTGATAGATGACATTCCTGTGATTACCTTTCCATAAACATCAGTGCCACCTTGCTAGCCCACATAAGGAAGACTCCTTCTGACCTTGAAGAACACAAGAAGCAGCAGCAAACTGCTATGTGATGTGTCAATGGAGAGGGCCATATAACAGGGAATTGTGGGCAGCCTCCAGAAGATGAGGGTCTCGGTTCTACAATAGCAAGGAACTGAATTCTGTCATCTTGTGAGTTCAGAAGAAAGTCCCAAGTTTCAGATAAGACTACAACCTCAGCTAAGAACTTGACTTCAGTCTAGAAGACTGAACTTGACTTCAGTCTAGGAGACTCTGAGCAGAGGAGTAACTAAACCATGCCCAGACTCCTGGCCCACAGAAACTATAAGAATGTTTATTATTTTATACCACTAAATTTGTGATTTTTCTGTGTGTGTGTGTGTGTGTGTGTGTGTGTGTGTATGTGTATGTATGTTGCTGGTGATGGAACCTAGGGCCTAGTGCATGTTAGGCAAGTGCTCCACCACTGAGCTACATCCACAGTTCCTGTGATAATTTGTTACATAGCAATAGAAAACTAGTAACGGTTTAGGCTTGGTTCACTTGTAATTCCAGTGATTCAGGAGGCTGAGGCAGGAGGATCACAAGTTCAAGGCCAGTCTCAGCAATTTAGTGAGACCCTGTGTAAAAGGACTGGGGATGTAGTTTAGTTGTAGAATGCCCCTGGGTTTAATCCCCAGTACTGCGAAAGAAGAAAGAAAGAAAGAAAAGGAAATGCAGGGTCAATGAGAGTAAGGAGTAAGGGAGGAGAATGGGTGTATGGGTGTGTGTATGTATGTGTGTGTGTGCTACATGCAATTTTATAAAACAGTCAGGGAAGGTCTTTCCATCTGGTGTTTATATGCTTTACTGGTTTGACTTCCACAGCCAATCTGGGGGCTAGAACAGTCTTGACAGTCTTGTTCTCCTAAATATCCAGGGTCAGGTACAATGCAAGGGTTTAGCAGCAGAACATAAGTCTGCAAGTGAATCTTGTTTTCCAAGATCCTATGTACCATGAGAACACAGAACCACCTCTTTTTGGCTTCTGTGTTGTCCCCAAAATATATACCCTACACAGTTAGTATTTAATAACCCTAGGACTTATTCCCAGTCTCCAACTTTCTCCATGGCCCAGCCCTCTTATCCAGGAGAGATTCCTGGGTCACCTCTCCATGTAAGTGTCACCTTTTCCAGACGAGTCTCCAATTCTGACACTTCAGCTTCCACCAACTCGATAGAGGCTCTGGGGAAGGAGGGATGAGGTAACAGGAACAGATCTCAGGTCCATCAGGTCTAGAAGCCTCTTCAGGGTTGGGATTGGGGGTTTTGGGCAGTGGGGACAGACATAAAAAGCTGCTGGGTTGAGAAGGGCCACCCAGCCACCTGATCTTGCTTATTTACTTCACAGTCTAAGCTATTACAGGCCAGGCCAGAGCAGGAAGAGAAGAAAGATGGATGTGGTGACTAGAGCCGGAAGTTGCTAACCGCCCAGAGCAGGTGTTGGGGGAGGGACAGGGGTCCCAGTGAGAGGGAGGAAGGGATATCAGTTCTGGGGGATTAGAGAGACCAGACAGTATGGGCAGGGTAGAGATCAAACTAGGACTCTGGTTTGATATCAGAAGTACTACTTTGGCCCATCAGCTTCCTCTGGTCACTTTTTTTTTTTTTTTTTTTTTTGGTGTGTGTGTGAGGTACTAGGGATTAAACCCAGGGGTTCTCTACCTCTGAGCTATATCCCTAGCTCTTTATGAGAGAGGGTCTCACTAAATTGCCCAGGCTGGCCTTGAACTTGAGATCCTCCTGTTTCAACCTCCCAAATAACTGGGATTACAGGCACCACACCCGGTTTCTCTCCTCCCCTGAGGCCTATACCCTGAAGTTGATCTGGCCTGCGAAAAGCTGTGTGTATGCTGTCGTGTTGGGCGATTTTGGACCCTCCCCACCTTGGCCATCCCCCCCCAACCTACACATACTTACCGGAAGCGGGGTGAGTCTTTGAGACACTCTTCAAAATCCAGCTTGACAGTCATCTCACTTGATTGCTGTGGGGCCAGAGGGCCCCGGGGCCAGGCAGGTGGGGATATAGGCCAAGGCACTCCCTGCCCCAAGAATGGCCTCAATGAGGAAGGAGGGGGTCCTTTGCTGGGTTGTACCTGGGGGGTACAATTCTGTCCCCAAAGGAAAGGGGTATTCTAGGAGGAGCTCTCACTCCACACTTCCAGGCAATGCTGGGAGGGGCAGGGGTGGAGCCTGGGTGGAGGAGGGGGGCCTGAGATCAGAGAAGCCACAGCCCCGCCCCTAGAGACTATCTGTTGTCACCTTCCTCCTGGGGCCCCTGGTCTCTCCCTCTGCTTCTTTCTCTTTTAGTGGTTGAGTTTGGGGGGGGCGTGGAGGGGCTGGTGATGTAGGTTCAAATCCTGGCTCTGTCACTTAGAGGTCGTGTAGGTTGTGTGACCCTTTGTAAGTTCTCTGATTCCTCAGTTTCTTCATTAGAAGATACAAATGAAAATCCCTCCCTTTGGGGTTATTAAAAAAAAAATTGAAGAGGGTTGGATTTATGGTTAACTAAATTAATTGCATCAGTCATTACCATCCTGCTGCTGCTTGACATTAACATTCTTGAGATCCTAGCTTCTTTTGCATCCAGTTCCTGGGTGGTTCCCAGTTTCCTTCTCTGTGCTCTGCTTTCTTGGTTTCCTGCTCTTGAATGGTCCTCCCACCCCACCCACTGCTTGACCCAGCAGGCCCAGCCTGAGCATCCAATTGACAGCATCCAGAATCCTGCTCTTCTTCTTTTTTATTGTCTACTCCTAAGGTGGTAAGTGCAGGGTAAGGTTGCCCTCACCCCATCCTAAGGTGCTACATTTTCCATTGTCTGGATTCTTCTTCCTGAGTCCATTGGAGCCGCAGAGTTTCATCTGGAGAGAGAAGAATCTGGGTTTAGTGGATTTCTTGCAGCAGTCATGAGATCTTGCCCATCGTAAACTCCCTAGAACCTACCCACTCAGACCCTCTGCCTCCCAGGCCAATGCAACCACCTCCTTGCCTCTGCCCAGGCTCACGTCTGCGCCCGTTCTGGGTTGGAGGGTTCTGGCTGTGTCTATGTTCCCTCTCTGAGCTCCCTGGGCTTCGGCAGTTCTGCCTCTTGGCCTCTAGCCACTGACACCAGCTGGATGTCACTGGAGACCTATTGTCTTTGGATGACATGGTAGTTCCTGGAGTGGGATGAGATGGCAGAGAGGAGTCAAGAAGGAAGCATGGAGCCAGTGGGTGGTAACAAACTAGAGGGAGTCCCCAACCCTTTCTGAACTTCTGTGTTTCCTGTTCTACACAATATGAGCCTTGGGCTCTGGGATGTTTAGGGCCTCTCTTACCTGTTGCTGATGAAATGATCTAATAGGATTGGAAGGTTGAGAAATGGAATTTGCCAAGAGGCAGGACAGTGAGATGATGGCCTGGTGTCCTCGTCAGGCTGCAGTGGTATCACTGTCATTTTTGCAGAGCCCTTAATGGCCTTGTGATCCCTAAAGGAACCTCCTGTGTGGTCCAATATATGAACCTTAGTGCTTATGGGTTTCTCAATGACCAAGGTCAAGTCTGTGGAGCCTGAAAGTGTTGTGGGATGAGGGTCCCCACTCCCCAGGCTTCCCACACCAGCTCTCACTGTGCTGCTGCTGCTCATCTTCTATGTCCTCTTCAGGTTCTGGGTGTGAGTCAGACCTCAGGTATCTTCCTTGGCTATAATACTCCCTGCGTTGCAGATCGATTTGCTCCGATGGAATGGGGGTTGAAGCTGAGGGGAACTGATTTCTGCAGCTAGAGGAATCTGAGGAATCACCCAAAGCAATCTGAGTCATGGTCATTTGGTGTGTCCATGCCTCCCAGGTATATACGGTGGACCTTACCAGAAGGGAGAAGCTCAACTCCCAGGTTCTCATCTCGTTTTCTTCTGTTACCAACCCTCATCTTTTAGAAAACCTTTAGGGACCTTTTCATCCCTCATGGTTCTCTTGGACTTTGTGTTCTTCAGCAGCCAGCTAGCTATGGGGGCTATCCTGAATGGGACCCCATTCCAATGGTCTTTCCTCCCTGGGATCACCACCCAGCACTGCTTCCCTACCAGACAGCAGGGCTGTGGGCCAGTGCCCACTGAGGAATAATATGGTGGAGAAGTGAGGAAGAGAAAGTCCAAGAGGACCATGGGTTAGAACAGGCTCTGGACTACAACCCTCTTGAGTCTCTGAAGTCTCCCATCACTAACCTTTGACATCTAGGACGGGTCTCGAGGCAAGCATGTCAGTTTCATCATTGACTCTTTTGGCTAGTCCTCCTGCCCAGCATCTCTCCACAGGCCTGGGCTTTGGCTCTATAGTCACACCTCTAACACCACTGCTGATGCCGGCACTACAGCTGTCCTCATCATGTTCCAAGGGCAGGTTTTTCTGAGACTTGAGGAACTTCCCTTCAGTGTAGTGTGTCTTACGGTGCTTGTCAAAATTACAGGAGTCTGTGGGCCAGTGTGAGAGCTTGGCTTTGCTGTCAGGCTCTCGCTGAAGGTTTGCTCCACCTCCCCTTTCCTTTCAGTGCCCACCCTGCATCTCACGTGTCTTGGAAAAGTTGTCTGCAGCTCCTGAGCTTCTATTGTCACCATACTGGAGGACCTTGGGGAGGAAATTGTCCATTGTTGCAAACCTGAAGGGGAGGGAGACTAGTTGGGGACACCGAAGGGAGAGAACAACAATGGGGGCATGTGGTAGATGATACCAAGCTGGCTGATCCCCCCCAGATCAGTCTTAGTCAGACCTGATGGGAATTGTGGTACCTCCCATTTTGCAGGCCAAAAAAGCAGAGGTGCCTCAGGCCCAAGTTCAAGGGCAAAAGAGGAGAAGACCTCAAACCTCAACTGATCTCTGAAAAGACTCTCACCTCTCTTCTAGCACTTCAGGAGTCACCTTGACGGAGGACCCTGCCAACAGGTCCTCATCACTGTCCTGCAGTCTGCAGAGGAGGGGGTTATCAGGCAATGTCTAGTTCCTGAGGCTTCTCTGCCTCCTCCCCTGCCTCCCTTATTAGAACGGGAAGAGTCTAGGCTGACAAATTGAGGCTGAGGTCACCTGCGGTAGGGGGTGCTGGGTTCGTCCACCTTCATAAAGCCATAGTCCTTATCAGAAGGGTGATAAGTGGCCAGGATATTCATCTCATCCCAGCGCTGAGCCTTTTTCCTGGGATGAAGAGAGTACACAGAAGAGGAGGAGACAGACCTTCTAGTGACCTCCCTCCTCACAGCCTTCCCTCATTTTTCTGGTCATTCAAAAAACTTTTTTTTTACACCCCCTTTTACAGGCTTTAGGTAGGGTGAGACCCAAAGATAATTACGGTACCATTTGGCCAGGATTTATGGGGCATCTGCTGCTCTCCCAAAGGCCTGAAACAACAGATCTCCCACCCAACTACCTTCACCTAGTCTCACTTCTATTTCTGAGGACTCCGCCCCTTCCCTCATGGCTCCGCCCCCTCCGTGTCCCGAACTCCTCCCTCCAGTCTCTGGGCTTTCTGTCCCCAGAGCTAGACTCCTTACTTATCCACACAGGGGGATTTCTGCATCAGGGTGGAGCTGCTGTCTTTTAGGATGCTCCTGGGCCGGTCCTCACAGGGACCAGAGTGCAAACAAGTTGACCCAGAGTGCAGACCACAGCCCGAGGTGTACATTCTGGAGACCCCTGGCCCGGCACAGGAAGTCCTGGGTAAGCAGGATCCAGGGCAGGGAATGTTGACTGCATCAGGGGATGGGCTGAACTCAAGGTGGCCCGCAACCTCCCCAGGCTGCTGACTAAGCTCAGAAGTGGGGGCCACTACCCGCTCGGTGGGATGGCTTGAACCAGGACTGCGAACCACATTGCACCCCGAGTGCGAGGGGGGCTCAGAACCATTAGGCGAGGCTACTCTGAAGGGCAATCTGGTGTCTGCCTCGACTCCTCTGACCCCTCCGGCCACTCCCCTGGTAACCACTCCAGGTGTTTCTCCATTGAAGCCTCTAGCAGGTCCCAGGGAACCCTGCCTCTCCATGGCCCCACCAGGGGGCCACTCTCAGCTACCCCACCCCGCCTTCCAGTTCCACATAGCCCCGCCCCTGAGCCTCGCCCCCTACGCGGTGGGCGGGGAAAGCTCCGGCTCGGACCGGTCCCCTCCTCTTCTGCTCCTTAGAGCCGCGGTGGACGGAATCAAGACTCTATTTAAGAGATCTCAGGCTTGGGAGTCACTCCGCTCGCCTTTCCCTTTTTATGCCACCCAATGTCTTTGTCTTTACAACTTGTTCCCGCCTTTCTCCATCACCGCCCTCACCAAATGAGCCAATCATAGCCAGGGGGCTTGACCAGGGGGCGTGAACCCCTAATTGTGACGTCACAGCCTTCCGACTTTAGCGGGAGGGAGACCTCAGCAACCTTGGAGAGTTGGGCTGGGGTTTTGCTAGTGGCGTGGCGGAATCTTTTTGAGTCGTTAGCGCTGTAATTTGAAACTGCCTGCCGAGGTGTCTTTGGACTCTATTTGTGGATTTAAAGTCTTAAGAGTTTGATTGAAAGAGTTCATTCTGGGCTTGACGTGAAATATCCCCACCCCCAGCCACAAATCGTCTCCCGTTGCTTCTCAGGAAAAGTGTGATGCAAAGTAGGGAGACCGCGACACTTTCGATCTCAAAGGTGTGGAGGGCAGAGACTTTCATTTATAAAACTACAGTTTCTCTGTGCCCCCTGGTCACCCCGTTTATAGCTCTTTAAAGCGTGTAGCGCGTAGAGAACACTCTCACCCCTTGCCGTAAAGCGAATAGTTCAATATATCGCTTCCCCTGGCGAGGGCGGGGTTGTCGGTTCTGCTGTCGCAAAGCGCGTCTGGCGCCATAAACCTTCGGTCGTAAAGATGCTTGTGGCGGACTTTTCTTCTTTCCACTGTCGCAAAAGCTCCCTGTCTTAGTCTTCATCCCTTTCTGAGCCACTCCGTCATCTCACCGTGCCGTAAAGCGAGCCTCCCGACCCCGTCGTCCTTCTGTTCCCCGTGTGGTAGTCATTAGTTCCCAGTCCGGGATGCTTCATTGCCTGATAGTGCCGTAAAGCATATCTGGTCCCAGCCCCCGGTCGTATTCCCTCAGGGTGTCTGTCCTTCGCGGTTGCCACGGTGCCGCCAAGCGCGGCTGTCGCGCGGCCCGGGTGTCAGCGGCGATGGCGGCGGGGTCGGGTGGGAGTGGGGGCTCTGGGGGAGGCCCCGGGCCAGGACCCGGCGGGGGTGGGGGCCCCTGCGGGAGCGGCCCAGGACCGGGGTCCAGCGGGGGTCTCGGCAGCGACGGGGAGCTGCACCCGCGCACAGGGCGCTTGGTGAGCCTCTCGGCCTGTGGGCGTACAGCGCGGCGGCAGCAGCCGGGCCAGGAGTTTAACCACGGGCTTGTATTGAGCCGGGAACCCTTGCGCGATGGACGCGTCTTCACCGTCCGCATCGATCGCAAGGTGCAGAGCTGGGACCACGGAACCGACATGTGGAGGTGGTGGGAGGGGAACAGGGGAAGATGGGGTAGGACAGCCAGAAAGCCCACATAACTGGGTACCGAGAGGGAACCGACAGATTGTAGGACACTAAGAGATGGGCAGGAGGAGAGCATGAAGCAGAAGCATTCGGTCTGGAGGAGACAAGGTGAGAGCTTGAGTTTCCTTAACACTCAGAAGCAAGGAGAGGGACACCCGCTCACCTACTAGAATGGCTAGGGAACAGGTCTCCCGGCCCAATATCTTGGTGGGTGGACGATGGAGAGATATCAGATATGTGATGAGAGGAGGGAGGAATACCAAGAAAAGAACAAACCACTGAAGGACAGTGGTTTCTCAGGTAGGGCCAGAAAGGTGTGTGATTTACTTGTCTTACAGAAAATTTGGGAGGAGAGTGAATCTGGGTGGAGCTTGATCCTAGAAGAGAATCAGACCAGGAAGAAGAGAGTGATATACAAGAGCAAAAGGCGTGGGCATAGGAAGCATGTGGTGGTTGAAGAGCCATAGAGACCCAGAGAAGTTAGAGGAGGTAGGAAGCTGGAACCAGAGAATTTAACCTGCTTAGTGTTTACCATACTAAGCACCTGAGTTCAGGGCAGAGTTGCTAGGAGAGAGCAGGCCCAAATAATTAGAGGCAGGGTCTAGACTTATAGGTCTTCATCTCTGGATTATTGCCTCAGAGGTGGTGAGAGGGGAGCAGAGTGACCTGTGGAATGGGTTTTCCTAGCGGTGGGAGACCCAGTGATGGCCCATCCTAAATCTCTCTATACCATCCCCATCATAGGTCAACTCTTGGAGCGGCTCCATTGAAATTGGAGTGACATCGTTGGACCCCAGTGTGCTGGATTTCCCAAGCAGTGCTACGGGGCTGAAGGGGGGCTCGTGGGTAGTGTCAGGCTGCTCGGTGCTGAGGGATGGGCGCTCTGTGCTGGAAGAGTATGGCCAGGACTTGGACCAGCTTGGCGAAGGGGACCGTGTGGGTGTGGAGCGCACTGTTGCTGGAGAGCTGCGGCTCTGGGTGAATGGGCGGGATTGTGGTGTGGCTGCCACAGGCCTGCCCGCCCGTGTATGGGCTGTTGTGGACCTTTACGGCAAGTGCACCCAGATCACCGTGTTGCCCCCTGAGCCAGGCTTCAGCCCCCCTACTCCCATCCCTACACCTCCCCTGGAGCCTTTGGCCCCCCCTGAAGATTCTGTCTTGACGGAACAGGGGACCTCTGGGGATGAAGGTGAGAGAACACAGGGCCATGGTGGAGGGGTGAGGCAGTGGGTGTGGTTACAGGGTGGGGCAAATGCAGTAGTGATCAAGGCTGGGTGTGGGCAGGACCTTTCAGACCCTGAGTCTGTTACTGGGGAGATCAGGGGCTAGAGGAGAGGGTCTCCTGGATATTGGTCCTGAAGCAAGGGCTTTACGGCAAGTGCACCCAGATCACTGTGTTATTCCCCTCCCATCCTACCTGGTCCCCAGCCTTCATGGTGTCCCCAGCGCAGGCCCGACCGGAGACGTTTCCTAACAGCCTTGAGTCGCATAATGGTGAGGGCTTTGGGGAGGCTCTGGGAAGGGGAACGGGCAATGAGGGAGGGGCCTCAGGAGTCGGGTACGGAGAGAGAGAGTATAGAGCTTCATTTTGGCCCTTCTCCGTCCTCCTGATGTAGACTTTGCCAGCATGGAGCTCTCTGAGGTGGTGAGCAACGCCATCCTGTCTGCCTACAATGGGGGGCTCCTGAATGTGAACCTGAGCTCCCCACCCTCAGGGGATGGGCTGGGATCTAGTGGTGCTGCCACCTCGCCTATCCTTACTTCGAATGACGCTCTGCTCTTTCATGAGAAGTGTGGGACCCTCATCAAACTCAGCAACAATAATAAGACAGCTGAGCGCCGGAGGCCCCTGGATGAATTTAACAACGGGGTCGTCATGACAAACCGACCACTTCGGGACAATGAGATGTTTGAGGTGTGCAAGATCCTGGTTTGGCTGATGCCTCACCCTCTGGGAGCTAAAGATGGGGCTCAACCCTTGATGCCAAGAGGGTGGAGTCTTGGGAAGAACCAAGGGATTCCCTTCTCTGCACTTAACTTCTCTGCTCCTTCTGTTTATCATCACTCAATCCCAGATACGGATAGACAAGCTTGTAGATAAGTGGTCAGGCTCTATTGAGATTGGTGTCACCACCCACAACCCCAACAGCCTGGAGTACCCAGCCACCATGACCAACCTCCAGTCAGGTACCAACCCTGGGCAGCATGGGACAAATAGGCCTGAGGTTACTGAGGTGAAGGAAACCCGTACCCTAACCAGGTATCCATTTTTGCTCAGGCACCATCATGATGAGCGGCTGTGGGATCCTAACCAATGGCAAGGGCACCCGCCGGGAGTACTGTGAATTTAGTCTGGATGAGCTGCAGGTGAGGATGGGGCACAGTGTTTTGGGTGATTCCAAGGGAAGGTCTGGGTACTTTGTGACCCTGCTTGGGTACCACATAAAGGTCTTTTCTATGGCCTAGAGCAAATCCCTTTGTGTTTGTATGAGGTCCCTTCTGAAAAGGCAGGGTTGCCCAATAGGCTCTAAAATGAGCCTAGTGGTAACATTTTTTTTTCCTTTTTTTTTTTTTTGCAGCGTGCGGATCAAACCCAGGGTTTTATAGATGCTAGGCAAGCATTCTATCACTGAGCTACATCTGAAGCCCCTGTAGCAGTGATTATGTATAGGGAAATTTAAAAGTTGCTTTAGTTAGCATTTTTCCTGCTATTGCGGCTGTGACCAGAAGACCTGACAACAATTTTAGAGGAGGAAGTTTATTTGGGAGCTCACGGTTTCAGAGTCCATAGATGGCCCACTCCATTGCTCTAGGCCAGAAGGGAGCCAGAATATCATAGTGGAAGAGTGGCAGAGGAAAGCAATTAGGAACATGGCAATAGGAAGCAGAGAGAGAGACTAAGCTCAGCTCACAAAATATATACCCCAAAGGCATGCCCCCAATTACCCATCTTCTCCAGTTATACTCTGCCTGAAGCAGTACTCATTAATCTCTATCAGGGGATTAATACACTACGGTTTTCATAACTATCATTTCACCTCTAAACTTCCTTTTTTTAAAATATATTTTTAGTTATGGATGGACACAATACCTTTATTTATTTTTATGTGGTGCTGAGGATTGAACCCAGTGCCTCATATGTGCAAGGCATGCGTTCTACCACTGAGCCACAGCCACAGCCCTCTAAACTTTCTTTTACTGTCTTATACATGACTTTTGAGGGGACACTTAATATTAAACCATAACAGAAGTTGATGTTTGTAAAATGGTTTAACTCTGTTCTTGACTTATATTGAGCATTCAGGAAATGTTGAAATTGCCATGTTTGGAAAACAGGGACCCAAGACCTGCCCTGCCTGTCCTCTAGGGTACTGAGACTCATGTGAATATCTTTGGGAACTGATTCCTATGGAAAAGTGAGATGAGAAGGCCCCAGGATTCTCTGTAGCTAGGTTCCATTCTGAGTTATTTTTCTTCTTTTAATAGGAGGGTGACCACATTGGCCTCACAAGGAAGTCCAATTCTGCTCTACACTTCTTCATTAATGGCATCGATCAGGGTAAGGGGATGCTCAGAGTAGGCTTCTGGCCCAGGACTACCATGGGGTCTAGACCTCATTCTTCTGCCTCTCTGGTGCTTGCTTTTCTTGTGTTTGATTCTTCTACCCTTATTTTCCTCTGCCACAGGTGTGGCTACCCCATTGACACCCCCAGTGGTGTATGGTGTGGTGGACTTGTATGGCATGGCTGTGAAAGTCACCATTGTTCATAACAACAACCACTCTGATCGACTCCGCCGGAACAATGCCATTCTGCGGGCGCTATCTCCTGAGGGTGCTCTCCGACGTGCTGCTCCTGCTGCCCAGGCAGAACCTGAGCGCCTGCTTTTCCACCCCAATTGTGGGCAGAAGGCAGCCATTACCCACGAGGGACGCACTGCCCTGAGGCCCCAGTATGGCCCATGGGTGGGGAGAAGCCTGCAGAAGAGGCTCTAATGGAATTGGGGGTGGGGGGTGGGATGGTGATGGGGGAAGCAGAAGGAATCTTGTCTGGGAAGTCCTAGACAGAAAGGTGGGAAGCCTCCCAGATCGTGAGGTCTGGTTGGTTGGCTTGGGGCAGTGGTTGATGGGTAGGTGTGACTGGGCTAAGCCTTGGCATATTCAAGAGTAGGTACTAGAATCTGAACTTCTCTTTGCTGTGTTCTCAGTGCCACTGATGACTTCAATCATGGAGTGGTGCTCAGCAGTAGAGCCCTACGGGACGGAGAGGTATTCCAGGTGCGCATAGACAAGATGGTGGACAAATGGGCTGGTTCCATTGAGATTG